TGGCGCCTTGGGGCCTTGGGATGGCTCCAAGAGGCTTCGGGATTGCCCCAGACCGCCACAAGACAGCTACGAGACGGCCGTCGAGCACCACGGGTGAAAGCAAGTGAGGCTAGGGAACAGGGCCTCTGGTAAGCCGCCACTGCGCCCCCTGGACTACCCAGACAGCGAGGGGACCCGAAACGCCCTGGGGCTCCAGGGGCCCCAGAATAGTGAAGTGAAGGTTTTTGCCATGCAAGCACCCCGAAATTCTTCACTTCACTAAACCGGACCCAGGACGAACTCGCTACGCTCCAGTTCCGCGGGAGATCCAAGACTCCCGCCGCCGCCCGGGGACGTTGCTGCATTGCGGTGCTCTGGTCACTGTTAATGGCTTCCGCGGGCTGCAGCGGCTCACTTCCATGACTACCCCGACTCACGAATCCAGTGGTTGGTCTGGCTCTATGGGTTGGTTTCGTTGTGTCGGTTGATTGCTTGGTTGGCGGTCGGTGGATTTCGCGTTGTTCATTGGTGTCGTGAAGTGATTTGTCGTTTGGTTGGTCAGTGCCGTTTTGTTGATTCGTGCCGTTTTGTTGGTTGGTGTCGTTTCGTTGGTTGGTGTCGTTTTGTTGCTTGGTGTCGTTTTGTTGCTGGGTGTCCTTTTGTTGGCCGGTGTCGATTTGTTGGTTTGTTGGTTGGTGTCGGTTTGTTGGTTGGTGTCGTTTTGTTGCTTGGCGTCGTCCTGGCGGCGTGGCCGATAATCGGCGGCCTGCAATGGCGCCAGGATTTGTTTTGGGCCAGCCTTGATCGCCCTCATCATTCTCATATTCGTCAGCGTCAGCACTCGTCGCCCCCATCCGCGCACACATGCGGCCCTGGTACGGCTCTCACGCGGCCCTGCGAAGGCCTTCACTGTGCTCCCCAAAGCGTTCTGAGGGGCCCCCCAGAGGCCCCAAGAGGGCACTGGAAATTGTCGCTTCCAACTCCGCCAGGCGGAGGTCAACAAGGGTCTCACTGGTGCACTTCCAGGAAACGTCGTTCGATCCTCTTGGGGCCCTCCTGGGGCCTTCTGGAGCCGTCTTGGAAGCTCCGAGCGGCTCCATGAAGGCGCCGGGCGATATCGCTTCCAATTCCGCCAGGTGGAGTTAGACCAGGGGCTCACTGAGGCCCCTTTTTGCGCCCTCCTCTGCCTTTGAAAAAGCCCCGATGGGGTTCTTCAGTGCCGTCTTAGGGCCCCTAAGAGGCCTCCAGTAGGGTATTGGAGTCATCGCTTCCAACTCCGCCACGCGGAGTTGAATCCAGGGCGGCTCTCTATGGCCCTCTCGGGGCCTTCTTAGAGCTTTTCTGAGGCCCTAAGTGGGCCCTGGGAGGTGTCATTTTCACGGGCGTTGAAAGTGACACCGCGGAGGGCCCTCTTGGGCCCTTCTTGGGGCCTCTCTTGGGTCCCTCTGGGAGCCCTCTTGGTGCCGCCCTGGGGCCTTCTCGAGGCCTTCTTGGAGCCTTTCTGGTGCTCTTTAAGTGGGCCCTGGGAGGTGTCACTTTCACGGGCGCTGAAAGTGACACATCGAAGGGCCCGCTTTCCCTCGTAGCGCTGCCCGTGGCCGGGGCATTGTGCAGCGCATCCTTCGTCGAACGTATTTTGTCGGACGCGTGGTCGAATTCCGCCAGTTCGGTCGAGATGGTGGTCAAGCGGTTCGGTTGCAATGTAGCCATGCGGATCTGAGCTTACCATTTCTTGCCATTTTGGCGGGGATCGCAGGAGCGTTTGTGTTGTGATCAACTGTGCTCGATATATCCAGCGGCAGCGTTTCATCCCAATATATTATTTTGAAAAATGTCAGCAGGGGCCAAATTGCTGATGTGAAGCAACATAGGTCTCGTAGCTTTGCATCCCAGGAGGGGGTCGGGGACCTGGCTTTTGCATCCCAGGAGTGGGTCGGGACCCGGCTTTCCACCCCAGGAGGGGGTCGGGACCCGGCTTAGCATCCCAGGAGGGGGTCGGGACCCGGCTTTGCATCCCAGGAGGGGGTCGGGACCCGGCTCTGCAGGGGGTCGGCCCGCGGCTCGCGCATCCCATACCTGGGTCGGGCCGATGCCCAGGGGAAGGAATAGAAGGGAAAGGGCGTTCCCTTCGACGCAATTTTAAGACACGACGTTATTTCCTCCTGCCCTGGACGCTGGAGTAGGAGCGGCGAGGGCGATGACGACGTTGACGACAACGACTCGGACGGAAAAACCCCTCTCACGCCGACAGGGTTGACTTTTCTAGCAGGCGGAGCCCCGTAATCTGACCCACCCTTCGATTGAGAGATACGATATGCGACGTTGCTCCAGGTAGGAACGAGTTTCAGGACCCCCCCCCCCCCTGCTCCCTGGCCCCCCCCCCGCCTCCCCCGGAGAGAATTTTCGAGAAGAGGAGGCCCGGTAATCTGACCCGGGACCCCCCCAGGACCCCCCCCCGGGGGAGGGGGTCAAAGGGAAAGGGTTTCCCTTCGATCGAACCCCCTCCAATCGGTAATCTGACCCAGGATTCCCTCCAGGACCCTCCCTAGCAGACCCAGGACCCCCCCACAGGATATAAGGGATCAAAGGGAAGGGGCTTCCTTTCGACTGAGACATACGATTTGCGACGTTGCTCCAGGTTGGAGCGAATTTAAGACCCCCCCCCTTCCTCCCCGCCCGGGCAGGAATTTTCGAGAGGAGGAGGAGGCTCGGTAATCTGACCCGGGACCCCCCTCCCCAGGACCCCCCCTAGCAGACCCAGGACCCCCCTTTAGGGGAAGGGATCAAAGGGAATGGGCTTCCCTTCGATTGAGAGATACGATATGCGACGTTACTCCAGGTAGGAGCGAATTTTCGAGAGGAGGGGCGCGGTAATCTGACCTGGGGCCCCCCCGAGGACCCCCCCACGAGCAGACCCAGGACCCCCCCCCCAGGATAGAAGAGATCAAAGGGAAGGGGATTCCCTTTGAGACGTACGATTTGCGACGTTGCTCCAGGCGGGAGGGAATAGTCTAAAGGAGGAGCCCGGTGATCTCACTCGGGACCGCCCCCCAGGAGTCTCGAGGGGCGGGGCCCAGGACTCCGACCACCCAGGACCCCCCCCCCCCGGACCCCCCGCCACGGACCTGTGCCGCGCACAGGTCCGTGGCGCGTTGCTTTCTGCTCGCCGCGCTCGCGTGCCCTCAAGGCACTCGTCCGCCTGTCGACGGGGAGGACGCGTGATGCCGCCGCTCAGGCTGGCCTCCCCACGTCGCCGTGCTTGCAATGACCGGCCCGACCGTTCCCTCGGTGCGCGAGTTAGTGAACACAGCAGGTGAGCCGAACGCGCATCTGTACGACTAGACGCAATGGGTGCCCGGCGGTTCTTCGCGTGGGATGAAAACAGCAAAGCCTGAGGACGGCGCGAGAGCTCTTGGCATGCATGCGCGCTTGTCAATGTCGGAGAGGGTTGATGGGCTTTCGATGGTGACCTGTCAGACCGTTTAGTGACGAGAAACCTGGAAAGGAGAGCCCGCCGCGCGCAGGTCCGAGTTTCTTGGGAGTTCCGAGGCTGACCGTTGAAGAGCGCCCTCAAAGAGTATCAGACCGCACCTTTTGACAGATCGCCGACGCGGAGAGGTGTCGGGTACGGAAGGCGGCGTCTCGATACCCGAATAGTCTGTTCCCACTCGCAGCGGCCGCATCTTTTTAGTTCGCGCACAGGTGCGAGAAGGCCGTTTCTGCTCAGGGACGAGCGCGCCGTCGCACGGCGTCAGTCTGCGCAGCAGTGCTTCAGGATGATGTCGGCGTCTCCGACAACTGCGCTCTCTACCGCCTCCTGCGCCCCCCGAAGGCGCGCTAGAAAAACGGGATATTGTAGGAGAGACCACTTCTGCCCCTTGAAGAAGCACCGCAGCGAACGGCGTGCGTTTCGCGGCTGAGTGAGTTTAGGATTGTCGCTTAGGAAGGCCTGGACGGCGCACATGTCCAGCGCGTCTGGGCTCAAAGGCGCCTCGGAATGCCGGGGACGACAGGCAACGTTGCACTTCGGCGGGCGACTGAAGCCATTCCACAATCGCCCGCGCCGCTTCCTCCGCGGACGCAGGCGAATAGTCGCCCCCGACGCGGATAAATCTGTCCGAGTTGGCGCCGGTCTCGCCAAGGAGGTCGGCACCGTTTCCCACGTACACCCTGGCCGCTCCCATGGTCAGGGGCAGGAATGGCTTCTCGGACAGGTAGACAGCGCCCGGGCTGGGACGCCTCCAACGCCAAAATTACCTTGGCCTGCAAGCATGCGTCACACTCACCCCAGTTCGTGGAATCGCCTTTGCAGCCGAGACACCTGCCCGCGGACACGAAATTTAGGTTGCGTTCCTGGCAGCGCTTGCGGATGTGCGCCGCGAAAGCGACCCGCGGATGCTTGTATCTCGCGCTCGAGCGAAACAGCACATCTATGGGACGGCTTCGGACATGGTCTCTCTCTCCAGGGACGCTTGGTACTTCCAGCCCTTCTCCAGAGTGAGAACAGGCAGATGGAAGGCATTGGGGTAAAGGTTGTGTCCCCCTGCCAGGATGCACAGGTCGTAGGGCGCGGGGCTCTCCCACGGCGTCGACTCGACGCCGACGTATGTGTGAAAACGGGCGAGCGACGATGCCCGGCGGGCGGCAGAGGGTAGAAAAGGTCGAGGGGCGGGCTCCCTGGAGTCTGAAGAACAGGCAACGACGCAGACAAGCAAAAGACAAGGCAAGACGCCGCACGGCCATCGAGCCGAGAGGGAGGAGGAGGAGGAGGAGGAGGAGGAGGAGGAGGAGGAGGAGGAGGAGGAGGAGGAGGAGGAGGAGAAAGAGGATGAGAGAGATGAGACAGAGGAGGACGAGGAGTACGGTAGAGGAGGAGGAGGAGGAGGAGGAGGAGGAGGAGGAGGAGGAGGAGGAGGAGAGGAGGAGGAGGAGGAGGAAGTCGTGGTGGTCGTCGTCGTTCGCCGCCACCGCCCGCTTCACAGTCGTGGTGCTGGCGGTCCTCGTGGTCGATGCGCCCCGAGGATCCCCTGCGCGACGAGAGCGTGTCCTGCGGCATGGTGGTGGAGCGCGACATCTGCCAGCCCGCGGGCCGCTCGCGCCTCACCGTTGTGGTGCAGGACATTTGCGCTACCCTTTTTGCCGCTCATTGGTATTACTTACAGTGCTGCCTCTACACGCCAGTCGTTGAAAGTAGGTATTCTTGGATTCCCAGATCCCAATCTACTTCAAGCGCCTTCCTACTTCAAGAATCGGCACGCTTTTGCTGTGTTTTGTTATTCCCTGGGGGGGCCTGGACCCAATCAACTTAATCCGCCTTCCTACTTCATGTTTTTCCCTACATCGTAAGTGGGGTTCTTGTTTTCTCTGCACACCCCGCGCAGTCCTCCCACACCTCACCTCACCTCACCTCCCACCCCTCTCCCCTTCACTCACCATCATTATCATCATTATCCTCATCATCCTCATCATCATCATCATCATCATCATCATCATCATCATCATCATCATCCTCGTCACCACTCATCGTCACTACTCATCATCATCCTCATCATCGTCACCATCATCATACTCATCACACTCATTCACACTCACACCATTATCATCGTCATCATCAACCACATCATCATCATCATTCGATCAATCATCATGATCACATTCATCATCATCATCACCATCATCATCATCATCATCACATCAACATCACCACTCATCATCATCATCATCATCATCATCATCATCATCATCATCGTCATCATCCTCATCATCGTCACCATCATCATCATCACTCGATCACGTATTCACTCATCATCATCACTCACTGACTCACCCACCCACCCACCCACCCACTCACTCACTCACTCACTCACTCACTCACTCACTCACTCACTCATCACTTCGTCATCACTCACCCCCTAGCTTGAATATGGATGAAGTCTCAAGCGGGAGCTTCGTCTGTGAGTGACTTGTGAGGAAGTCTCAGGCAGGAACCCCCTCCCTATGGGTCCCGCACTTCATGTTGGTAATCCGAACGGGTCATCCGAAACGTGTAATTGTCGTCACTTTTGGGCTCCTCAGGCCTGAATTTGGGGGAAGTCTCAAGCGGGAGCTTCGTCTGTGAGTGAATTGTGAGGAGGTCTCAGGCGGGAGCCCTCTCCCTATGGGTCCCGCACTTCATGTTTGTAATCCGAGCGGGTCATCCGAAACGTGTAATTGTCGTCACTTTTGGGCTCCTCAGGCTTGAATTTGGGGGAAGTATCAAGCGGGAGCCTCGTCTGCGAGTGAATTGTGAGGAAGTCTCAGGCGGGAGCCCCCTTCCTATCGGTTCCGCACTTCATGTTGGTAATCCGAGAGTGTCATCCGAAACGTGTAACTGTCGTCACTTTTGGGCTCCTCAGGCTTGAATTTGGGGGAATTTTTCAAGCGGGAGCTTCGTCTGTGAGTGAGTTGTGAGGAAGTCTCAGGCGGGAGCCCCCTTCTTGTGGGTCCCGCACTTCATGTTGGTAATCCGAGCGGGTCATCCGAAACATGTAACCGTCGTTACTTTTGGGCTCGTCAGGCTTGAAGTTGGCACAGGTATCAAGCGGGAGCTTCGTCTGTGAGTGAATTGTAAGGAAATCTCAGGCGGGAGCCCCCTCCCTATGGCTCCCGCCTTTTGGGCCAAAATTTAAGCCTCCAGCGCCCTGCGCGGCGACTCTCCGCCATGACGGGTCCCGCACTTTATGTTGGTAATCCGAGCGGGTCGTCGGATTCCTGTGACTTTCGTCACTTTCTGGGATCATCAGCTCCTGCGGCGTGAATACGGAGGAAGGGCTCCTCAGCTCCTGCGGCCAGAAAACGGGGTAAAGAGAAGTATCGGGCGGGAGTTTCGTCTGTGAGCGAAGTGTGGGTCGCCTCGTCTGAGTTTGTCGTCGGCAAATTTGTTGTTGTCATGGGCCTGCGTGCCCAAAAGGGCGACTGAGGTGCTGGCGACGACGACGACGACGAGACAGCGGCCGGGCGCAGGGGTAGCCCCTTGTGTCCGGGCTGGGGTTGGTAACCCATTCTCGGCCGAATCGGGGGCAGGGGTAGCCTCTTGTCTCCGGGCCGCCAGTGGTAACCCATCGTCGGCCGAATCGGGCGAAGGGGTAGCCCGTTGCGTCCGGGCTGGGGGTGGTAACCCATCCTCGGCCGAATCGGGGGCAGGGGTAACCCCTTGTCTCCGGGCCGGCGGACAACCGCGGCCTCCTGGACCCTTGGTACCAGCACGAGAATTGTCGGCTCGGCTACGGCATGGGCATCTACTGGGAAACGCTGGCGAGGTGGATCAACGCGCGCGCTCGTCGCGACGCGCGGCGCCTGGGCGTGCCCCTCGTTTCTTGCAGGCCGTTGACGAGTGCAGCACGATTCAGGGCGATCCCGACGTGGGTCGGCGCCTCCTGAACGCCCCGAACATGCACAAAACGGGGGACATCAACGGCGTCTTGCCGGCCCACGTCGGCATGGAGGTGCGATTCACGGCAGTGCAGGAGGAGCTGAAGATGTTGGGGCTCGTGCAGGAGCAACGGGCCACCATCGTGCCCTTCGAGTTCCACCGCGAGGACGAGCGGGACTACGAGGAGCGCGCGCCGGGCCAGCTCTTTCGCCCCCGCTACCTACCGAAGGGAATCTGGCTGCAGGTCCACGGCTTCAAGGAGTCCCCGATCTACAAGGAGGTCGCCGAGCTGCTGCTGCCGGGCGCCGAAGGCGCCGTTGAACGCCGCGAGGCCGAGGCGCGGGCTCGGGGCCTGCTGATGTTCAGGCCCAGCGAGCAGGAGTTCACGTGGCAGAGCTCGGGGCCGCACGCCGTGCGCCGCTCGGGGTTCGCTCTGACTCATGCGTCCTACCTCACTTCCACGCTGTCGCAGGGCCAGACGCCGTGCAAGGGCGCCGCCGTCGACTGCGCGAGGGGCGAGGGCGCTGGCCGCGCGGGCATGTCGGACGACCGGCGGTGGCTGCACCTCTACGTCGCGCTCTCCCGCGCCGCGCGCGTGCGGAACGCGCTGATCCTGCGGCCGCCCCCGCGCGACCTCCTGGGGCGAGGGCCGCCAGCTTCCTCGCGGACGGCGCTCGAGGAGTTCGATGAGAAAGCGAAGACATCCAGGGGTGAGGCCGAGCAGCTCGCCGCGGAGCTTGGCTTCGTGCTGCCTCCCGCCTGAGCGCCGCGGCGCGCCGCTTGAGGCCCGCGGGGTTGCCCCGACGGTCTGGCCCGCGGGGTTGTCCCGACGGCCTGCCCTCGCGCCCCAGCGGCCCGCGGGATTGCCCCAAAGGCGCGGCCCGCGGGGTCGCTCCAAAGGCTTCGCGATCTAGCCGTCGGCGAACGCGCGCGTGCTGGCCGAGGCGGCGACGGCGCTGAGGAACATCGATTTGCTTACCCCGATCAGGGGGAAGGGGGGGTGCACATAGAGAAGCGACAGGAGGAAGATGAGGAGGGGGGGCGAGGCAGGGGGTGGGGCGATGATGAGGAGGAGGTGGAGGAGGAGGAGGAGTTGAAGGAGGGGGAGGGGGAAAAATAGAAGAAGGAAGGAAAAAGGGCAAAGGGGGGGGGGGCGAGAGGGGGGTGTTTGCCATGGCCAGGAGGAAACGGATAAAAGGGGCAGCTAAACAGATGATCGTGTGGGGCCCTTCCGTCGGAGTAATTGCCTACTTCTTCCGACCGACGTGTATTTCTCCGACCACTGCTAGCGCCATTGCGAACATCACCGGTACGACTACGACTGACCGGCTGCTACTGCGATTGCGGCTGCCACGACTGCTGCCGTTGTGCAGCTACTGCTGTTACCATGCCTGCTCCTTGAAAAAATGTAGTTTATTTGTTTGTCTTCTTTTCATACGGCTACTGGTGTTATTCTTACTTTACGACTACGACTGCCACTGCTTGGCGATTAGGGCTGCGATTGCTACTGCCAGTGCTGTTGTTATTTCGTTTGCTACTCCGGTTGCGAGTGCGATTTCCGCGGCTCCTATAATTTCCACGGCTGCCACAACGACTACGTATGCGACTATGATACGATTAACTACCACTACTGCTACTGCTACTACTACTTCTACTACTTCTACTTCTCATATTTTTTACTCCGAATTCTACTTCTACTTCTACTTCTACTTTTTCTACTACCGCAACTACTGTTAATACTACTGCTGCTGCTCCTACGACTACTTCTACCTCTGTTTTTTCATCACTGCTACCATTACTACCACTACTACTGCTACTACTGCTACTAGTTCTACTTCGTCTACGACTATTACTATTACTACTACTACTACTACTATCTACTACTACTTGTGCTTCTGTTTTTCATCTATTAACGCAACCTTTACTAGTAACTACTACTATTACTGCTACTACTACTACTACTACTACTACCACTACTACTACTACTATTACTACTACTACTATTACTACTACTACTACTACTATTACTACTACCACTACTACTACTACTAAGCT